TATAGAATTACTATATGATATTTGCGTTGCAAAAAAAATTTCGCCGGTTTTTTGAGAAAAAGGGATTAAATTCTGCTAAAAAGTGTTGATAATGAATAAGGCAGACTTCCTTAAATGTATATGAATCCGTTCCAAAGAAAAAAATTTTAAGAAAATTCAAACGAATTCAAAAAAGTCAAAGAACCGTGCAGTAGGTAGTGGCCGAATGGTTTTTCGCTTATAACTTYGTTGTTTATGKACCGATCTTAAAGAATGAGGTGTCAAACGAAAGCTTAACGCTTGGCGCAGSTYATGGGTTGGGTTTAATTAATCTACGTATAGAATTACTATATGATATTTGCGTTGTAAAAAAAAATTCGCCGGTTTTTTAAGAAAAAGTTGTTAAATTCTGCTAAAAAGTGTTGATAATGAATAAGGCAGACTTCCTTAAATGTATATGAACTGTCTCTTATACACATCTAGATGTGTATAAGAGACAGGCTTATGGGTTGGGTTTAATTAATCTGCGTATAGAATTACTATATAATATTTGCGGTACAAAAAAAATTTCGCCTTTTTTTTAAGAAAAAGTGTATACATTTTGCAAAAAGCTATTTAAAAAGACTACCTTGCATGTTTATGAAGCCATTCCGAAAAAAAAAATTGAAGAAAATTTAACTAATACCTTTGATTTTGACGTTTAATTTCTATAAGTTTTGAAAACGTTCTAAAATCACTTTTTACGCAAATATAACGATTTTTAGGCATGCAATCGAATACATTAAGATCTATTAATTGTCTCTCTTTAATTTGGCGAGCACCACTCTACCATGAACATTATTTTTTCGAGAAACGGCGTTGGAGTTTTTCTTTTCAAAATATCATGGTCATATATTAAAATTTTTAAAACATATTTCGGCTCATCAGTTGCGCCAAGCTTTAAGCTTTCATATGACACCTCATTCTTTAAGATCGGTCCATAAACAGGGAAGTTATAAGCGAAAAAACATTCGATCACTACCTACACCACGGTTCTTTGAATTTTTTGAATTCGTTTGAATTTTCTTAAAATTTTTTCTTTGGAACGGATTCATATATATTTAAGGAAGTCAGCCTTATTCATTATAAACACTTTTTAGCAGAATTTAATCCCTTTTTCTCAAAAAACCGGCGAAAATTTTTTTGCAACGCAAATATCATATAGTAATTCTATAYGTAGATTAATTAAACCCAACCCATAAGCTGCGCCAAGCGTTAAGCTTTCGTTTGACACCTCATTCTTTAAGATCGGTCCATAAACAACGAAGTTATAAGCGAAAAACCATTCGGCCGCTACCTACTGCACGGTTCTGTTGGCCTGGTGCCTGGTAGCCAGAAACAGGCAAATATCGCATGCTGGCAAATTCGCTGGCACGCATGTGTGTGTGCGTACGTGTGAGTACGTTGGAGGCAGCTGGTTTATCGCTTATAACTTCGTTAATACTGGACCGATTTGCATGAATGAGGTGTCATATGAAAGCTTAAATCATGAGGATGATTTTGGAAACATTTTGGTTTGCTAAACTTGATGAATGAAATATGTTATTGTAAAAAGAAAAMATGGAGAGTAATTCTATGCAGAAAAGTAGTAAGAATAATGAAGGTAATGGTATAAATGGAAAGGTACTAATAAGAGTGCGTTAATTTAGACAAAAGCACAGCTCTAAAGCGCTGCTGCAAATTCTCTGCCAAAAATGGGTTGGGAGTAAGGGTTCCAACTTTAAATGCTTATAACTTCGTTGTTACTGCGCCGATTTTCATGAATGAGGTGTCATATGAAAGCTTAAAGCTTGATGCATTTAATGGAGTATAATTTATTATTTATTTTTAAGGCGATCTAAGTGATATTTATGAAATGAAAAATTAAGAGGTTTTGCTTTAAGAAAATGCATAAAATGCAGTGGAAAGCAGCATGAAATGTGTGAGAAAGTGGTTCTGATTCTGAGAAGAGATCTGCAGAGTGGAGTATTCATTATAAAAATCTTGCGAGGATGATTTCTTATTAAAAATTTTTAAAGAAGGCAATTTTAAGAATTATTTCGGTTTTTTTTGTTGTAAAAATATGTAAAAGGTTATACTTACTTATGGAAAGACTATGTTTATTAGCCCCTTCTGGTTATTAAAAAACGCAATAAGTTTATGTTTTATAAATAATTTTATTTTTATTTCATTATATATTTTTTAATATTGAATAAAGTTTTGATTTTTTTTTTATCAGAAAATAAGTTTTTTTATCTGAAGTATGTTTTAATAATAAAAGTTTTATTTTATGAAATATTAGCTTAAAATTAATACAACTTTTAGAAGTATGTGTGGATATATTTTGTTGATTTTTTAAATTAATTAACACTAATACCTTTTAATTAATTCCATATTATTTTAGCTCTATATAATAAAGTTTGAAATTTTTGAAAAGCTTAGGAATGGAAATAAAAATCCTTTTCTAAATGTTTAAATATTTTTTTCTTAAATTTAAATACTTTTTATAAACATAAATATATTATATAAAAAATAATATTATTGATCTCAAAGATCTGTATTATTTCTTTTGTTAACAAATTTTTTTGTTTAATTTCCGGTAAGTATTGTGTGGTGGCAACATCTCCATTTCCTTAGAAAATAATTTTAGCAAAAAAACAACCCAAATTGCTTCTCAAATTGTGGCTAGCAATTTCTTACAGTTTGAGAGCTATAATTTCCGAAAATATTTCAAAATAAATATTTACATAATTGTTAAGAAACCGTTATAGTATAGATTTGCGAAAAATGTAGCGTTAAATCCGTTATTTTTTCACTAGCAGTTACGGAACATTATTTGAAAAGACATTACTGTTCGGCTCTTGGAAGTGCATACGCCAAGTGGAAAGAAAGTGTTGAACGAGAGCACCTAGGCGAGTTCGGCAAAAGCTGGTTTAAAATGCGAGCTCCAATTACTGGTATTTTATTACCATGAATTTCCGGGTGCGCGCTGTTTTGCTGAAAAGAAAATAAAATAGTATGAAAATATGCGGTTTAAGTAAAAATAACAAAATTAAATGGAAAATTGAGCAAAAAAAAATGTTTTAAAAAAAATCATTAAACGGGATTTTTCGTTGAGGGAAATTTCTTTGAAACAGTTGTATTGATCTCTTGACTTTCACACGATTTTTATATTCTTGCAACATGTTGCTACAGAGCACATAGTTTTGTTCACCTAACGGTTGTATGCATTATCTAAGTCTAATAGAGTTAGATATATTGTAATACATGTATATGATATATAATTGGTTAGCATGACGAAACGACTTGAAATCCATCTGTCTGTCCGTTCGTCAGTTGGTTTCAAAATCACGCAACATTGGTAGTCGAAAAAGTCTTTTCGCATTTCTAATCAAACTTCAACTTATTTTTTTATACTTATAATAATAAATAAATAAAAAATAGTTACCATTTTGGTTGACCGCTTTTTGCCATTTTTCAGCTAGAGACATTACTCCAACAGTGTAAACCGAAATTTCGAAATTTAAAGAACGAAATTTAAAACTTAATTAAAT